AGTACGGCCCTGTGCGGTCAGATGCTGCACCTCATGGGGCACGCCCACTTCAGTTTTCTCATCAGTGAAATGGGACGATCCCCATAGAACTGCCAAGGGAACTTCATAAGTTTCATTCGACTCTGCAGGGAGATGGGCCCCTGGCACTCAGCACAGTGGTAATCCTGGCTTTCCAGTCCCACCCCAGGGCAGATGCTCAGCTCATGCTCAGCCTGGTGGCTAACTTTGGAGCTCATACAGGGCTTGGAGACAAGGTTCAGGCACTTGCTGTGACAGTGACAATAACACTGTGTGCAGGTGTACCAGGTCTGTATGAGCCCCCAGATGATGGTGTTACACATCACAGTTTTGCTTGACACACTTGCTCTTTTCCTTGTAGAAGCAATGACTAGGGAGGACTCGGCTATTGGGCTCTTCCTCACTGGGGTCCTTCAGCTCCCAGAGCTTCAGCTGTGGATGAACCTTACCACTATGTGTGTGTGTGTGTGTGTGTGTGTGTGTGTGTGTGTGTATAATAGCTAGATAGCAGGTGCACTCACAACCTACTGGGGTATGGTCACACCACAATCTTCCCTCTACCATTTCTCCATCCTGTTAGGACCTTGGGCATACATGCACATGTGCCTAGTATGTCCCTGAAGCTGTCAGGGCTGGGACTCAAACCACGGTCAGCCAGGTAGAACCAGTCTCCCTATGCAAAGAGCTTAATTGTGCTATGGGATCAGGCCCAGTGGTTCTTTCTTTATGAAGGTAGATGCCAATTCATAGATTTCCATTGCACTTTGATTTTCATTCTTGGTGTGATATAAATGTCTCTAACACTGTTCAATATTTTTTTTTTGAAGCAATCTCTCATGTAAATAAGGGAAGTTTTGGAACATTATTTGGTAGATTATGCATTTAAAATAAGAATTAGGCTCTTCCTCCCCTGCCATGGTATATATGAGTGACTACTTCCCTCATTCCATGATCTGCCTAGTTTATCAGGACTGGCAGCAAGTACTCCTTGCACTCCTGTCCAACCATTCTTCAAATTTTTGTGTGTTGCTACTCCAAAATTTACTTTTATTTATTTTTTTTTAAGGTTTTTGCCACAGGGCATATGCACCTTCTGGAAAGAGACAGTAAGAGGAAAAGTGAGATCACTCCCAGGGGCAATAGCTGCTTTGAAATTACTCCCTCTCCATTCTCTTCCTGGGATTCGGGACACTCACACACATGTACCAGGTCTGGGACTCGAACTGCATTTGGCCATATAAGAGTCCAGTGCCATAACCACTATACATATACATCTGCTGGCCCCAAATTCACATTTTTCATATGAAGACTTCTCCATTTTTTAAAACATTCTTAATAACAGATGAGACACATCTTTGTATTTACTTGTATACCATTTATTGGATATAATATTCTTAACAATGACTTTTTCTACTGAAATAGCAGGTCATGTTTACCTGTAGAACCTCAAAATGAGAAATGTGTACAAAAGTAACAGACTGTAACATAAAAACGTATGTGAAAAAAATGAGCAAACCAAAGCATTATAAATGGATGAAGCACTATAAAATTACTGTGCTGGTTTATGTAGCTGTAACTTTAATTTGTACTGTGCTGAATAGCCTATAGCCACGGTCTAAAGAGTTACATTAACAGTTGACACACATATTCAAACAGCGGGCCTTCCCTACAACCTACCAATTTGACCCAATAGAAGGTACAAAAGAACTATTAGCTCTGCCACTGCCTGTCCTGCCTTGGACTCTAAAGGATTTTTAAAAATCGAATTTGTTTTCCTATCAATGCCCTAATAAGATGCCTACTTACGGGTCATAAACCTAAAAGCTCATTCAGTGTTTTTGTAAAATTAAAATAATCACATTTTTTTGGTCTGGATTTAAAATGTGCTAAATCTAAAAAGTTACTTTATGATAGAATCTCAGGAAGTGGAATATGCTTTTTGAAGATGTGTCAAATCATTGTTCTGATGGTGGGTTACAGGGCATTCAACCCAGAAGCGCCAAATCATTTTACATTGAGAATTACTTTAATTGCGTGTTAAGTCTTCTGGCTATTACAATCAGTTATTGAATGTTTTAACAATTTCATATGCAGCATTTCTTTTCCTAGTTTTTCTCATATGAAACAAGCTCGTAACGATTGGACTTAGAAGATGCCATACTGTCCCAAAAGTGAAGGGGAGATTTTCCTTACAAAAAGCAAGGGGATGGCACATTCTTGTACACATAAATGGCTTCTGGAAGCATCCCCATTGCACAGGAATGGCTCTCAGCATTAGGCTTGACAATCTTCCAAGGGCATGGTTTCACTATCAGTGTGTTCAAGTAGGTTTGAAAGCAATAGATGTCAATAAGTACTTTAGAGTTAATCCAGAGGATTTTGCAATCATAGATGATTATCTATGGCCAACTGCCCATTCTAATCAAAATAAGGCATTAGAAGGGAAGTCACTGAGGGTTGATGAGCCTGTGGGTGGGACTCTGCCGCAACCCTGGAGAAGGTTGGTTTTGGGGCATCCACTAGATGGATGTTGCAGGGGCTGCTGCACACTGCAGCGGTCATCACTGGCTTACCCAAAGCAGTGACAAAAATAGTCACATCAAAAATTGGAGATGCAGGACCAGCAGTTAGTGTAATGGCTATGTCACTGGATTCCCACGTAGTCGACTGCAGTTCGAGTCCTGGACCCGGTGGCTTAAACTCACGCTGGGCGCATGTGCATGCATGCCCAAGATCCCGAGAGGAGAATGGAGGAGAAGGGATTGCGGCGTGGCCATCCTCCCTGGGGGGTGATTTCTCACTTTCTGTCTCTCTGTCTCTCTCTGTCTGTCTGGTGAGCGCACGCACCCTATAGCAAATACCTCTCCAAAAAGATTTTCCTTACAAAAAGCAAGGGGATGGCACATTCTTGTACACATAAATGGCTTCTGGAAGCATCCCCATTGCACAGGAATGGCTCTCAGCATTAGGCTTGACAATCTTCCAAGGGCATGGTTTCACTATCAGTGTGTTCAAGTAGGTTTGAAAGCAATAGATGTCAATAAGTACTTTAGAGTTAATCCAGAGGATTTTGCAATCATAGATGATTATCTATGGCCAACTGCCCATTCTAATCAAAATAAGGCATTAGAAGGGAAGTCACTGAGGGTTGATGAGCCTGTGGGTGGGACTCTGCCGCAACCCTGGAGAAGGTTGGTTTTGGGGCATCCACTAGATGGATGTTGCAGGGGCTGCTGCACACTGCAGCGGTCATCACTGGCTTACCCAAAGCAGTGACAAAAATAGTCACATCAAAAATTGGAGATGCAGGACCAGCAGTTAGTGTAATGGCTATGTCACTGGATTCCCACGTAGTCGACTGCAGTTCGAGTCCTGGACCCGGTGGCTTAAACTCACGCTGGGCGCATGTGCATGCATGCCCAAGATCCCGAGAGGAGAATGGAGGAGAAGGGATTGCGGCGTGGCCATCCTCCCTGGGGGGTGATTTCTCACTTTCTGTCTCTCTGTCTCTCTCTGTCTGTCTGGTGAGCGCACGCACCCTATAGCAAATACCTCTCCAAAAAAAAAAGAAAAGAAAAGAAAAAAAAATTGGAGATGCATGAGCAATAGATTTGTCGTGGAGAAAGGGACTTGTCTCTGGACGATAGAGAAAGGCAGATAGATGTATTAGCCTTTGACTTCCTGTGTCCAGATGTGTTGATGGGCCTATTAATGAGTCATGGAGTCACTATGGCAGCCTTAGGTTGGCTTCTTGCATGGGTGGAAAGGAGAAAACATGGTACCTGGAGTGTTCCCCACTAGCCAGTCACAGTGTATAAAACTCCCAGCCTGAGGGTCACACCTCTAGGTTAGCATAGTGTTTGGAGACTTCTGAGAAGGCTGGTACAACTTTAATCAGAGTGGATTGTGTATGGCTGGGGCCATTTTGAGAGCAGCGAGGAAGAATCTCCAGGCCAAGTCTACACTGGGCTTTTTGCTCTCAACTTAGGGGGCCCTACACAGCAAAGTTTTACAATAAAATAAGTCTCATGAGGAAAGACTGTAAGAGATCAGGGCTCATTAGAAAGATCTAGCCCAGCTGTCCCGGCATCATGCCCTTGCCATGGTCAGGGTCTCACTGGCTCAGAGTGCTTGTAAACATGAGTGGAGAGGTGGCAGGATGCTCAGCCATTCTGGTCGGCCCAGCACCAGGCTCTTTATAGCACCATGGGAGATCACAGGCTCCTGATATTCTGACATAGATCAGAGTTTTAGCAGTTGTTCTGTTAGGGGATGCTGTGATGTGTTGTATTGATTTGTCAGAGAACAATGGCCTATGGTTTCAGCCTGAGAATTCCTAATAAAGTTAAGAAGGCATAAAAATGTCTCCTCTGAGACTAGTCAGGAGTATTTATTCTTATATAGTTTAATTTGTTGTTTTTGTGGTTTTTGTGATGTCATCATCCCACATGTGTAAGCTGGAAAAATTCTCACTGGGAAGTGTAACCTCTGTGCGCATAGTTTGACAATGGAAAATTTTATGTATTGTTTCTTTTGGTTGCTACACATCTGATTCCATGTGTCAGGAAAACAAACTAGTGAAAAATTTCTGGAGATAAATGTTTAAATGGAATGCCTGGAAGATTAGCTATACACTTCCCCATCAAGTGGAGTCATATCATAAGATGTTGGAAGGAAAGTAAACTAGTCTCTGGGCCCTTTGTGTGTCTGGACACACTGATTTTCTCAGTGATGGCCTTAGAAAACTCAAACCAACTCTATTATTCATGCTGATACAATTAAAAAAATTAAATAGAGTGCCATTGAAATATATTAGGTCATCGAGAGAGTCATGACGTGTTTTTCTATGCAAAAATGTGTCATGACTTTCCCAGTGACCTGGTAAGTATCGATTTTTTGTTTTCATCATTTGTGAGGCTATAAAAAAGGAAAGGAATATTCTCAATGCCCCCCCCCAAAAACAACAACAACAACAACAACAACAAATAACACACCTTGTTTTGGTTCTTTTCCTAAGTTATATTAAGATGGAAATTATTGCTAAATATGCTTCATTTGATAAATACTGCATCTTGAAAATATTATTCCTTTAACAATATTACCTGTGTAAAGGAATATTAGATTTATATATATTCTTATTCAGAAATTAATTGCATGGCTCTATAAAAGCAATTAGTACTGTAGAGAAAAGAGTGTGTCATCAGCGGCAGCCTCTAATTGGCCATTGATGACATGGCAGAAGATCACAGCTTTAACCTCCTTCAATATCAAACTCTTCCTGAGTCTCTGAACAGAAGCACAGGAATTACAGCTAAGAATACAACAAAAAGGAAAAGTCAGTTCATACGTTCTTACATGTAATAATAGGTAGAGGGGCTAAAATGCCAGATGTAGGTATTTGGGCATCTTATAAAGATGATGCCCACATAATGCACCATAAAATTCTGTAAACCTGTTCAATAGTACATATTTTGGCCTTAGTACAGTTATCAAACGTAATATCGGTTACAGTAATTCTGTACGTATTTCATCAGTGGTAATATTTTCTTACATGGCTTTACATTTTTTAAGACATTAGTAATTGTATAATAAACAGATGCATGCTATCAGAGTTGGAATGTTTCCTTCTATGTTTGTGACTCGCTTTTATTTAGTCTATCCACAGTCATGAATACTACATTGCCTAGATATGGAGACGAAGGTGGGGAAAGTTAAATGCAGTTTTGTTTTCTGGAAGGCAAACCAAGATTCTTGGTACATATTTTTCTTTCTGCTTCAAGGCATATAGGAAAACTGTTGAAATGACCCCTAAAAATGTCTATCATAAAACACTCAGAGTGAATTATGGAACTGCTGTCAATTGCCTTCTAATATGAAAACTAGTCATACATGACCCTACCAGAAGACAGAAGCATAATGGCATTTTACCTTATCTGAGTATTTTTGTATTTTTCATGCCATTAGAGATAGGCAACTTAGAGAGATCTTTTTGTGAAAATGGCTCCCCAGAGAGATATTTGAAGAGTAAACGGTTGAAGGGGCTGCTGCCCAAGCCTACATTTCATGACTATTTAGGATCAGGAAATGGATTTCCTCATCATAGTCTGTGATGCTCAACAGGTAGGTTACAAGTGTTTAAGAAATTGATTCAGACGATGCTAACAACATCTTTTAAAGCTTCTTGCAGCCAACTTGGAAAAACAGGACGCCCCAAAGAGAACTTAGTAGTAACTTATCGTTCTTTGTTCAACATATAACAATACGGATGACAGACATAGGCTATACCATGAATATAGGATTCCATTTGCAGATTGTGTAAGCAGGGGGCTTCTGCCTAATTTTTAATAAACTGAATCTTGCAGTAAAAGAAGATTATTATCTGAAGAATTGAATGACTAGATCTTGTGACTGGTTCACATGTGAAAATAGTTACGGAGAGCCTTATCTATCCATAGGAATACAGGATCATTGTATTACAGTTGAGAAGACAATGAAGTAATCAACTGTGCTCCAAATAGTATAGGGAGATGGAAGTTTGCAGTGCCTGGACAGTAGCTTTCTTGTAAAAACACCACCTTTCTCAGTCTAAACAGTATGCTGATGCCAGCACTCTGCAAAGGACAGCCAGGAAAGAAGTTCTTGGTGTTTCCAGAGAACAAAGGCTCGAGTAATACCACAGACTTCTTCTTTGCCTATTCTCCAAATGTGCTAAACTCAAGGTCAAGTTTCTGCCTGATTTAGTGTTCTAATCTGTATTCTGGTGTGATCACACCTAAGTTTCTTCCTAAAACTTTCTGGCCAGAAACCAGCTTCTTCCCTGCAGTCTTAGAGCTTCAAGGTGCAGCAACTCTGGACATGGGGCCTAACTGTCCACCTGTTTAGGGGCTCTGGACCTGCCTGAAAGCCAAGCACATCCTGGACCTGAATTTCCCTGGCTTTGGCCTGAGATAGGAATTTCAGAAACTCACTTAAGGTTCTACCTGGGGTCTCTTGAGCTGTGTCCAGTAATAACCACGGCTGCGAGTCGTTGGAGTACTGCTTTCCAATAAAGCCTTGATCAGAAAGTAAATATCCTGTCTAGAATCCCATCAAGCAGGATATTTCAAGTTCACTGAAATATTAAAAGCGCAACAAGCCTTCCTTCCATGGAAAACTCAGTGATGGTAAAAATGCCTACTACAGCGCACTGCACTGTAATAATCATTCTGCATAAATTAATAATTTACAAGTACCTGAGCAAGTATACAGAGCACCATAGCACAGCACAGCACTGACGGCAGTAGCTCAAAGTTCTTAAAATAATGGTGTTTTAGACATTAAAAAATTCTAAACGTTGGTACAAAAAAATTACTCCAACTGGAGTCGAAAGATAGTGCAAACTTCTGTCTTCACTGTTGAAAAAAGGTGTTGGCTTCTCATTTTATATAGGCAGTATAGGTGGTTCTGGGCACTTGGTGTGGGTATTTAGGAGCAGGTCTGAAACAAGAGTAAATAAGAGAGAAGAAAACAAAATTGTAGTTAGAGACCTTGAGAGTGATTTCTGTAGGATTAGAAGTCTAGTGTTGGAAATGCTTTTTATTCCACTCTGAAATGTTTCCTGGGTCAGAACCTACTGCCATTTAAACCAGGGGCTGAAAGCCCCTTTTGTTTCTCGCAGAGGTTATAGATCACGTATGGGATCTTACTGAGGACTATAAGATTCCCAATGGTTTTATGATGGACTCTGCTACCAGAGGAGCTCTTTCCAAAACTCCTCCTCCCATCCACAAGTGGACCCTAGAACAGCACCATTGGATAGAAAAAATGTGGTCTGAGCCACATATCCAACTCTAAATTTCCTAGTAGTCCCATGCAAACAGTATGAGGCCAGGAGGTGACACGATGCTGGATTCTCACATGATCAATCACAGTGTGAGCTCCAGACCCTGCAGCTTGAAAATCATTCTGGGCGTGTGTTCATGTGTGTCTAAAATCCCAAGAGAAGAATGGAAGAAAAGTGACTGCAACATAGCCATCCCCCTGGAGAGTGATTTCTGACTTTCCCTCTCTGTCTCTTTGTGTCTTACTCCCGCAAATGCAGGTGCCTTATGGCAACAAACCTTTTTTAAAAAGAAAAAAAAAAATAGGTGAAATGAATTTTTAATAAATTTTTTGTAGTTCAATATATCTGGAGTATTACCATGCCAACATCTCATCGATATAAAATATTGATTATTGGGATAGTTGACATTTTGGGGGGGGGCATTCCAGAGTTTTCAATAGAAGTATATCTGGATTTTTGGTTTTTTCCCAGCCACAGTGTGCTTAATGGCTACTGTATTGGAAGGCAGCTATGCTTACCACTATACTACCAACCAAATGGCTACTATATTGGACAGCACAGCTCTAGAAACAGGGAGCAAAGCTGGAATTCCCTCAAAAGTGAATATGGAGGGGAAGACCAAAATTGGCTTCTCTGGTGTCAGCAGCTGGCAGAAGTAAAACAGGCCACTGCTGGAGGACATTTAGAAAAGGGACTTTCTTCTTATCATATCCATTTAAAGTAGCATTTTTCCTTCAAATGGAGTAAGTAACTTTAAGGTCAACATGCAAACCACGATGAAATAATTAAGATGCTATGCACTTTTTCTGCATTTATGCCATTGGAAATTAAACCATCATCCTGACCCTTTGACTGGCTTTATCTCTGAGATTTATTAGACAGCTATTTCTTTCACAGGCCAAACATTCCTCCCACGAGCTATAATGAAATCACTAAAGTGTATCTTCCCTTTCAGAGATATGGAATTAGTGAACCCAGAGCTTGGCCAAACACACTACTTTGGTTCTTTTGAACTCATAAACTAGGCTTCCTGCCAAGGGGGCATGCGAGTCAGAAGAGTGCTTTGGTTAAGGGTTTAACACATGTATGTACTGGTAAATGCTTAACCACCACGAGGTAGGAGACCCTGTTTTTGGGAGTGTTTGCTGAGTTACATGGTGTAAATACTTTGACCATGGCTGATTCAAGCTATCACCATGACATCACTGAATGTGGAAGAGATGTGAGCGGCCGCTCTGATATATTGTAGAATTTCACTATTCAGAAAACAGATGAGTGCAACCTAAAGAGCACAGATAATTATAGCAAAGTACAGTTTAAAAAAGTAGAAGTGATGAGATTTGCGCATTCATTACCTTTGTTTCAAATATAATTTATATCCTTGTAAGTTTCTGTATTGGGTTGTTGGCAACCTAATAATTTAGTCCTAAATGTTGGGTAGATTTAGCAACCAGCTTGCAAAATTCCTGGAAATTAATATCACACTAATAACTGTGAGCTGATTTGAGTGCAGCAGTTATCCTCTCTATATAAATTGGAATTTAGGGCTATACTTTCCTAGTTAAACACAGGAAGAGAAAATATTTAAAGGTAATCCCCTTCTTAGTTATGTAGTTATGCAGTTTTTTTTGGGGGGGGAGGGGGGAGGTTTTTGCTACAGGGCGTGTGCACTCGCCAGAAAGACAGAGAGAGACAGAGAGATAGAAAGCAACAAATCCCCCCCCGGGGGGATGGCCACGCCGCAATCCCTTCTCCTCCATTCTCTTCTTGGGATCTTGGGCATGCATGCACACGTGCCCGGCGTGAGTTTAAGCTGCTGGGTCCGGGACTTGAACTGCGGTTGACTACATGGGAGTCGAGCGACATAGCCATTACGCTAACTGCTGGTCCCTGTAGTTATGCAGTTTTACCAGGCCTGTGGGTACCTAGACACTATGTTAGCCTTAGTCTTCATGTTCTCTTTGTTTCATCTATGACCTCCAACCAGACCTAATGTCTTAGGACCTCAGGGACTGGACAGAGTCAAGGTCTGGTAAGGGTTTGGAAAGTGAGTGTCTCGCTTTCATACCATCATACCACTTGGTAGCTTTCCCCTCATCTTTGGAAGATGAGTCCAGTCCCCCTGTCAATAACCACAACTTTCTAAGGCATACTATTTCATCTTGATTTGATCTCTGAGCTATTTTGGGGCCATTGCTAGGAGCTCCATAGCAATACCTATGTGATTGTAAGCTCCCATTGACAGCTTCCTGGCTATTTTCGCATCTACTATATATTACTCCCAGTTGTGAGGAGTACAGGAAGCATGACCACTTGACCACTACAGCCATATCTGCATAGGTTGGCTCAGCTGCCCCACAACAGCCTGAGAAAGAGACAGGCACAGCCCCCTCACACCAACCTGATGGGTGCCAAGTGGAGCCCAGGCTCCTGCTGTCCCAAGGTCCTCCCTGAGGCATTGCTGAGCCGAGTTGTTCTGCTCAAAGGATCTGCAGGTAGAGGCTTCTGAGGAGGGTTTGGCTTACGAATACCCTGCAATAAACACAAGATTGTGCATGATCACTTATCTTTGTGAAAAGATGTTCACCACAGGATCCATCAGAGTCTCCTGAAAAGTGGGATCTCCAGCATGATGAGTTGCTACACAGCACAGATGTGACTACTGAATAGAATGGAGGGGCTTACACTTGGTTAACTTTCTTGACAAAATTTTCATGTGAAGGATTTATCCATAGAAACAGAGTTACAAACACTGGAATGTGAGTCTCTAGATCCCAAGCTGTTCATTCCTTTGGGGGTATAGTTGATAGTTGGGGTTTCTCTGCCAATGTCACCCAGGGTATATCAACTTTACTGTGCCATTAAGCTTCTTTTTAATTTATCAAGGCCTTAAATAAGGAGCCTGTGAAAATCTTCTCAAAGATCACATTCATTTCTTCCATTTTGCTAGACTCAAGTGCCAGGATGTGTTTAATTACAGATGATTTAAACAGTAAAGATGATTATCTCTTGTCCATCCATGCAGAGCCAGTATACCAGACTGTTGGAGTTTCACCAAAATACTTTCTAATAGTTAGTTCAAAAAACTGACACGGTGATTTGTGGGACAAATAAAGCTCTATTTAAAATGCTAGGGGGACATTTGCTGTCTCTGCCCCTGCCCAATCAGCTGGAGCAAGGTAGGAAGGCATCTACAGCTTAGCTTGCTACTTCACATCCACTTTTCCCAGCATGGCCCCTGGCCACATTGGGGTTAGAGAGTTTGGGAGAGGAACCAACCACCTAAAGATACTGTGACTCTGGAGAAATTCTCTATTTTCTCCTCTAGTGAAGAGAAAGGAGAGAAACACTCCTTTGAAATTCAAATCCCCAGAACTCCCATTGTGAATTTCAGCACTCCTACTCACAGAATAGGGAAACTGACTTGGCGCTAACACAATACTTTATGTCTTAGAGCATGAATGTACAACTGCAGAAATCTACCCCCAAAATTAGGAAGATGTATTTCAACAAATGCCAAAAATCAAAGCAAAGTCTCCAGAAATATGAGAAAACCAGATAGTATCTCTCCCTCAAAGGAACACAATTACTCCCTATCAATAATAGAAAGAACGTGTGCACACACACACACACAATCACAAAAATATCAGGAAAATAATTCAGAATATTTTATCATAATAAAACTCAATGAGACACAATAGAAAATGATAGCAAATTCCATGACTTGAAGGAGGAATTCCATAGAGATAGACACCCTAAAAAAGAATGAAACAAAGCTTCTGGAGTTGAAGAATAAAATACAGGAAATTAAATCCTCTTGCAAAAGGATTAACAGATAATATCATGCAGAAGAAAGAATCTCTGACCTTGAAGACAAAAATTTGATTTAATCCAGGCCACCAAAAAGAATTTAAAAAACTCCATAAAAATGGGGACAACATATGGGAATCTCTAGATACCATTAAGCAGTCAAATACATGCATAATGGATTTTACCAAAGGTGAAGAGATAGGTAAAGGCATAGAAACTCTCTTTCATGAAATACCTGAAAAGTTTCCCAAATTGGGGAAACATATAGACATCTAGATCCAACAAATACAAAGAACACTACATAAATTCAACATAATTCTCTCTAAGGAACATCACAGCCAAATTGGTCAAAAGCAAAGACAAACATGATATCCTTAAACAAAGCAAGAGTGAAATGCCAAGTTACTTACAAAGGTAACCCCATTAAACTAACATCAGACTTCTCAACTGAAATAATATAGGCAAGGATGAAATGGGAGGAGATTTAAAATCCTAAATGTAAAAAGATAAATCAGTCAAGAATACTATACACAGTCATAGTATCCTTTAAATGGAATGGAGAAGGAAAATCATTCCCAGACAAATCAAAACTGAAAAACATTTGCCAACCCTAGTCTAGTTCTTTATGAAATACTCAAGGGAATACTATGGCAGGAAAATGAAAGGAAGACAAATAGAAATGAGAGAACACAAAACAACTTTTAAATGGCTAACAAAATGACAGAGATAAATTTGAACATATAAAAAATAGTGTTGAATGTTAACATATTAAATTCCCTAATTGAAAGACACAGATTGACTGAATTGATATATACATACACTATATACTGTATATATAGTCTATATATACAGTATATAGTATTAAAAGCATGAATTCATCAAGAAGATATAATAATTACAAATATTTGTACATCTAACACTGGGGCATCCAGATATGTAAAAGAAAAACTGCTAGGTCTAAAGGGAGAGATTGATTGCAATACACTAATTATTTGAAATTTCAATACCCACTGTCACAACTGGACAGGTCATCTAGACAAACAAACAAACAGACATAGGATCTAATACTATAAACCAACTGGGCTTGACAGACATTTATAGAATATTTCACCCAATAACTACAAAATACACCTTTTTCTTATCCTTACATGGACCATTTTCAAAGATTGACCATATATAAGGCACAAAAGAAGCCTTTACAAGTTTAAAAGTATAACAACTGTATAAGGCATCTTTTACAACCACCATGGAATTAATCTAGAAATCAACAGGAAGAGCCCTCTTAAATACACAGAAATACAGAAGTTATACAACCTACTCTTGAACTACTTCACAACTACTGAAGAAATTAAAACCCAAATCAAAAGAGTATTGAGGGAACCAGCAGTTGGTGTAATGGCTATGTCGCTGGACTCCCATGTAGTCAACCGCGGTTCGCATCCTGGACCCAGTGGCTTAGAACTCACGCTGGGCGCGTGTGCGTGCGTGCCCAAGATCCCGAGAGGAGAATGGAGGAGAATGGAGGAGAAGGGATTGTGGCGTGACTATCCCCCCGGGAGGTGATTTCTTGCTTTCTGTCTCTCTGTCTCTCTCTGTCTGGCGAGCGCATGAGCCCTATAGCGAAAACCTCTCCAAAAAAAAAAAAAAAAAAAGAAAAGAGTACTGAAACCAACAATAGTGAACACACACAACTCTCCAGAATCTTTGGGATGAATCATTAGAAGTTTGCTGCAATTAGTGCTCATGAGAGAAAAATAGAAAGGTGGCAAATAGTAACTTGATGATTTATCTCAAGGAACTGAAAAAGCACAACAAACCCCCACCCTCTGAAATTACCAGAGGAAAGAAATAATAAAGAGTAGAACAGAAATTGGAACCAGCAGGTGGCATAGTGTTTAAGGCACTGGACTCCCACATGGTTGACCATGGTTTGAGTCCCAGACTGGACAGATTGAAACTCACACTGGGCGCATGTGTGTGCATGCTCAAAATCCCGAGAGGAGAATGGAGAAGGGATAATGGTGTGGCCGTCCCTCCTGGGTGGGTGGGAGTGTGTGATTTCTTACTTTCTGTCTCTCTGTCTTTCTCTGTCTCTCCAGTGAATGCATGTGCCGTAGTGTTAAAGAAAAAAAGAAATAAAGATTAGAGCAGAAATAAATTAAATGGATCATAAAAGAACTATACAGGAAACAATTAAACAAAAAGTTGTTTTTTTTTAGAGGATAAACAAAAAATTGACAAACCACTAGAGATTAATCAAGAAAAAAAAATAAGGATAAATGAGATCAGTAACAAGATGGTAATATTACAACAGATATGTCAGAAATACAAATAATTATGAGAGAATATTATGGGTGACTATTCATCAACAAACTAGAAAACCTGGATGAGATGGACAAATTTCTGGATACATAGACGCTACCTTGATTGAACCAGGAAGAAATAGAAGGCCTGAATAGACCAACAAGCAGTGAGATTGAGTCATTAATAAATAGTGTCCCAGCAAGGGAAAGCTGAAGTCCCAATGGCCTCACTTCTGAATTCTACAAAACTTTTAAAGAGTTCCCCCAATTATCCTCAAGCTATTTCTAAAGATCTAAAAGGAAATATCCCTTCCAAACTCATTCTATAAAGCCTCCATCATCTTGATAACAAACGCAGACAAGAACACAATATCCTTGAAGAATACAGATGCAAAAATCCTCAAGATACTAGCAAATAGAATCTAAAAACACATTAAAAAGATTATACATCATAAATAGGCAGGCTTTATTCCAGGTATGCAAACATGGTTCAAGATATGCAAAACAATAAGTGTACTAGATCATATTAACAGAAGAAAAGATAAGAACCATATGATCATTTCAATTGATGAAGAAAAAGCATTTAATAAAACAAAACATCTTTTCATGATTAAGACTGTCAACAAAATAGGTATCGAAGGGACATTTCTCAACATAATAACAACATATGACAAACCCATTGCTATCATTATTGCCAAATGGGGAAAAGCTGAAAACTTTCCCACTAAAAACTGGAAAAACTGCACATTATCTTCACTCCTTTTTTTTTTTTTTTTTGGCTATAGGGCACGTGCACTTGTCAGAAAGACAAAGAGAGACAGAGAGACAGAAAGTGAGAAATCACCCCTCAGGGGGGATGGCCACGCAGCAAACCCTTCTCCATTCTCCTTTTGGGATCTTGGGCATGCACACACACACACCCTGTGTGAGTTTAAGCCACTGGGTCCGGGACTCAAACTGCAGTCAACAACATGAGAGTCCAGTGACAAAGCCATTATGCCGTCTGCTGGTCCCTCTACTCCTTTTTAACAGTGCTGAAAGTTTTAGCCAACATAATCAGACAAGAGAGTAAAATGATAGGCATTCAAATAAGAAGAAACTAAATTGTCCCTGTTTGCAGATGATATAACTATATACAGAGAAAATCTAAAGAACCTTTGAAAAAAACTCCTAGAAGTGATAAATGAATTCAGCAAAGTAGGAGGATACAAAACTCAATGTACAAAAACCTATAGCATTTTTATACATTAACAATAAACAGACTGATGCAGAATTAAAGAAAGCAATACCATTTATAATAGCCCTCCAACACGAATACCTAGAAGTAAACATAACCAAAGAAATTAAAGACCTCTGTAAAAAAATTATAAAAAGCCAGGAAAAGAAATTGAAAATGTACCAAAAAAAATGGAAAGACAT